GAGTCCCGCACCACGCACCTGGCTTGAAGAAGGTGGCCGGTGAGGGGGGCACCCCGAACTGGTTAATGATGTTGGGGGAACTGAAGTCGTCCATCTCATCATTGTACAGGATCCCGCTGACCGGGGACAGCACCTTGGACCCGAAGCTGCAGATGGGCCGCGTCAGACGGCTGGGCACCGCCCCGCCCTCCCAGCCCCCAACCCCAAAGCTCCAACATGTACCCCATGTACCCCGTGAGGTCCGGGGCGAGTGCTCTACCAAGGTGGGACCTCCGTTTCCCAGCACAAAAGGGGTTCGTGGAGCCCCCCCCACCCCACCCGCTGCCCGGCAGCCCCTACTAGAGGTTGATGGTGCTGGTGGCCGCCACGGCGCTGCCATCCTCCGAGACCACGGACACGTGGGCAGTGCCCCCGTCGTCTGGGATGTAGAACTCGGGCTCGTAGTAGGAGGCGGGGTGCGTGGTGTTGTCGGAGATGCGGCTGCGCAGTTGCGCCGCAAAGAACTCGGAGCTCATGTTCCGGACCACCTGCCGAGACCCCAGAGCTGGCCTGAGGAACGGGGGTGGGCGCGGGCACAGGCTGGTGCGGGCAGCTCTCGGGGAGCCCCGGCCGAGGCTCTGACCACAAGCCTCCGGCACCCCAAAACTCACACGGCCCGGCCGACCCCTCTCTCCAGCCTTTGTCTCTGTTGCAGGCTGGCAACTCTGCATGTCTGTCTGTCTGTTCCCCAAGCCCCCACTCCAGCCATATTCATTCATTCATGGAGCTTGTACTGCAAGCCTGGCACTGGGGGGTCAGCAGGGAACAGCCAAGCGGCTCCCCACCCGCATGGCAGGGAAGACGAAGGCAGTGCTGGGAAGAACAAGCCGGGTAGAGGTGGTGGAGAACGATGGGGAGGGGGGTGGAGTGGTCAGGGAGGGCTTCTCGGAGGAGGTGACATCTGAAAAGAACCCCGAATGAGGCCTGGATAGCCAATGCAAAGGCCCCTGGGCAGGCCTGTGAGTGACGGGCAGATGGTGAGTGGTGTTAGGAAGACAGGAGGTAGAAGAGGCCGGTGAGGTCCAGTCCCGGGGCTCCCCGTAGGCCTCAGAAAGACTTTGGCGTTAAGGCTCAGCCACCCGGGACTGGGACAAAGCAGTGAGCCCTGGCTGTTTCCCCAGGGTCTCTGGGGGCCGGAGGCGGGGACACCAGCCGGGAGGGAGGAGGTGGCTGGCTCACCCAGGTGGCAGAGGAGGAGGAGGAGGAATTGGAAACGGCCCTCAAGTCTTCATCCCAGAGTGACCCTTACCCGGGGTGGGGGTGGCTGCTGCGGAAGGGGCAGGCTGGGGCCGCAGGGAGCTTGATTTTGGAAAGGTGCCCGCTGGACACCGAGCAGCGGTGAGCCTACACGTCAAGTTCACGGGCAAGATCGGGCTAAAGGGTACAGTGGAGACAGCTGCTGCAGGCGCGAGGCTGGACGGGCAGACAGAGAGGAAGGACAGACACGGAGAGGGGGGAGGAGGCCTTGCAGAAAACACGTCACCAGAAGGTTCCAACCACACCCCGCGGGGTAACTGAGGAGTCCGAAGGGAGAACCTAGGCCTGAATCTCCTCCCAGAGAGGCAGGCCCATCCCGGATGGGGACCTTCCCCCAGAGGCTGCCCTGGGCTTTCGAGGCTGCGGGGCTCAGGGGCCGAGCGTCCACCTGGCAACCAGGAGGTCACGGTTCCATCCGGTCAGGGCACGTGCCCGGGTCGCGGGCTCGACCCCCATCCTCCCCATCCCCCAAGGGCTGCGACGCCCCTGCACCCCTCACCTCACACCCACTACGCCAGACCCTCCCAGCAGGGGGCACAGCACGTGCAAAGCCTGGAGGGGGGAGGGGGGCCCGGGGGGCACTCATTCCTCCTTGTCTGTTACACTCTGAGCTCCCGGGGCCCAGGCCCAGGCCCAGACGCGGGTCACTAGTCCAGTGATGGCGAACGTTTTGAGCTCGGCGTGTCCGCATTTTGGCAGGCGAGAATTCTACCACTGAACCACCAATGCTCCATTGCATTTTGAAAAACCCTAACTTAAGTCTGGTGCCGTGTCACACATAGAAATTTTTTGATCTTTGCAGCCACAGTAAAACAAAGACTTACTTTTAGATATTTGTTTTATATATTTAAATACCATTTAACAAAGAAAAATTGACCAACAAAATGAGTTTGTGTGTCTCCTCTGACATGCGTGTCATAGGTTCACCATCACTGCTCTAGTCCATCCTGCCAGGCAACAGGCCTGCCCCCTCGCCCCCAGGTTGGTGGGAGCGGATTCGCACAGCAGGCGGGAGGCCTGATGAGTCCGCAGAGGATGCGGGGGGGACCCCCCTGCCGCCTGCAGGCAGACCCCGCCCGCCGTCGAGGGCCAGCCCCCGCCCTCACCTCAGTCACACTGACAAACTTGGGGTCCCCCAGCAGGGTCCTCTTGGCGTAGGCGAAGCGGAAGGCCTCCACGATGCGGTGGTAGGTCAGACCCTTCTGCTCAGGGGTCTCCACGCTCGCCCGTGAGAAGTTGTACCCTGGAGGGCAGAGCCGGGCAGCGTTGGCGGCCTCAGGGGCCCTCGGGACATCGCCGCTCAGCCGAGGCCACTGGGTGCCTGGGGTGCTCTCACACCCCCTGAACCACCCGGCCCACCTTACGCAGGGGGCACTGAGTG